AAAAAAAAAAAAAAAAAAAAAAAAGAAAGAAGAAGAAATTTATAAATACATAACTCAATAACCAATAAACTCCTGTTACACCTTGTATCTTTCACCTGAATTGGAGCATGGCGTAAATCTGAATTTTGTAGAGACGCAATGCAGACGTTTGAATGACACTATTAGAGCCCCAAAATAACGCACCAGCTTGCCCAATTTTTTTTATTGGTTCAGAAACTGGGAAATTTTTTGGAGCTTAGTGAAGGTCACTTAAAGCTGTCAAAATTTTCTCTGAGGTAGAGGTACTCCGGGAAATACTGGAACTTCTTTACAGTAGGATGATAGGAACACGGGAACACGTTTTCAGTTCTTTATAATGACCGGCATTAAGACACAGAATGACAGGTGACAGACCCACCTTGATAGGGTAGACCACAGCTTCTTTAACAAGCCTCTTAGCGGCATCTAAGCCAATGATGTCATCCCATCTTATGTCAGGGTCATGAAGGTAAATATCCTGTAAGAAGGAATCGCCACTTACAGATTGAATCAAATTGATTGTACATACGTAACACCACATACAATTTCTATATCACTGTACTCCCTAGTTACAACCAAGGGAGATATACAGTCATGTAGTAGCTGCACTGCAAACAAATGTGGCCTGTGTTTGATCCTCGATGAGACTCCATCAGTTTCACCCCTCCACGTACTGACTTCTCTCCTTCCTGAGAAAAGACGTGGGGAGGAGCACTGGCTGGTTTTACACTGTGGCTGATCTAGTTTGTTATAGTATACCTGAGTATCTAGTACTCTTGGTAGGAGAAAATCCGTCAACTTGAGTCTAGAGGTGCATTCTTAAGGACGTTACCCTCATGCTGGTTATACTGCCATACATTACTCAGCTTGCTCAAATATTCTGCACGATGGCTTCATTTGTACTTCTGATTTCTTTACACTTGTGAAATGAACTTATCAGCTAAGACAGAAAAGCTGCCTGAAGTCTAATCACTGGCATTTATGTCAGTTACTGTTCAGCTCTTGAAAGAATTACACATGCATTTAAATTTAGTGCAAATTATGTAACAGAAACATACCCTGCTGATGACAGCAGCCAAGTCTCTCCATTCTCCTGTAAACCCAGAAAATCCCCCTAAAGGCTTCAAAAGTCTGTCCTGTAGAAAAAAAAACCATCATGTCAGTAACAAGAATGTAGTTAGTCAATGAAATAATATAGTTTACAAATCCTACTGTGCTGCAGGAAGTATTAAAAAAAAGGTGAGACTACATTTAAGTAACCACTTCACCCAATGCTTATCTCAGTTTTTATCAAAAGCACGATACATATATCTTATTAACCAAGTGTGAGGGCCGTACAGGGAGAATATCGGCCCGAGGTCTTGACAGTATGGACCAAGCGCAGCGAGGTCCATACAAAAAAGA